TTATCTTCTGGACTCTGCTTGATGTGACAGAATGTGCTGCAGGACCTTTTATTCATCATCCCAGTTTTGAGTAAAATTCTAAGACTGTCATTGCTGTTTCTCAGACATGTCCGACTCTTTGCGGGTCACGCCATGGACTATACACACATCTTTGCTTCTTACAGGAAAGAAAGAGAACATCAATTCAAACTTCCCTATACAGTTTCTACATCAACCTCAAAAAAGTTTACCATTTAATTCAAAAGCATTTGCTGAGCACCTACCATGTGTGATACACTAAGGATCCCAGGTTCAAGGAGATCCTGGCCCCCATCTCGGCATGGTGGTTACAGGGTATACAAAACCGGCAGCACTCATCAAGCTGTACACTTAAGATATGCTCATTTTATGTAAAATATACCTCAATAGAAACATAGGCTATTCAAGGAAAGATAACAAAAATAAACATTTAGAGTTTATTACAGCTGGCATAATAATTTCAAGTAAATTACATTTGTGATGTGAATTTGACTACTCTATGTGCTATTGTGTATACAGCCCTGGATATTGGATGAAGCAGATGGGCCCTCTTTATGGAATTTGGAATGTTAATATTTTGTAGTTGCTATATATGTCTATGATACCATTTCATTAGTTGTATAAATTACTTTTAATGGTGGCACATATCAATAACAACATAAGCTTTTAATTAGCAGACATGGGTTGAAAAACGAGTTTCCTCTGTGATTTGGGGAAAATGACCCAAACCTGTTTCATCTGTAAAATGGAGTTAATGTCCTACTTCATAGCATTGTTGTGGTGACTAAATGAAAAAAGTGCCAAGTCATAGTAAACATCCCCTCTCTCATATCATCTCCTCCCAACATCTTTTGATGTCATCTTTCATCAAGGCTTTTTTTTTTTTTTACCAATTATGAATAACACAAGAGAATAATACTGGCCTTTTATAATGACTCATAAGTTTCCAGTTCTCAAAGCATTTTACACTTAACACATATAATCTTATGCACCCATTCATTCTTATCGAATATCTACATGTCAGGACCTGTGCTAGCCTCTAAAAATACATAAAAATATCCTGTGTTTATGTAGTTTGCATTTTCAAAGTGAGGTAAGATTATATATATATAAAATCAGGAGAATAAAATTTCTTTGAAGACAAGGTGAAATGTGAGAATGGGCCAACAAGACATGCAGGTGGCCACATGAAGAAACTTAATATCACTACTTAACAGGGAGATGTAAATCAAAACTATATACAATGAAGGTATCAACTCACACCAGTCAAAATAGCCAACATCTATAAACAATAAATGCTAGAGAGGGCGTGGAGAAAAGTGATGCCTCCTACACTGTTGATGGGAATGTAAACTGGCATAGCTACTAAGGAGAACAGTATGGAGGTTCCTTAAGAAATAAAAATAGAGCTTAAATATGATCCAGTACTCTCACTCCTGAGCATAGATCTGAAAAAAATAAAAACTCTAATTCAAAGATACACTCACCCCAATGTTCACAGCAGCACTATTTACGCTAGCCAAGATAGGGAAGCAAACTAAATGTCCATTGACAGATGAATGGACACATACACACATGAATACTATTCAGCCATAAAAAAAATGAAATACCATTTGCAGCAATGTGAATGGAACTAGAGATTATCATACTAATAATCAGAAGTAAATCAGACAAAGACAAATATCATGATATCACTTACTCATAGAATCAAAAAAATGATATAAATATTTATTTACAAAACAGAAATAGACTCACATAGAAAATAAACTTATGGTCACCAAAGAGGGATAAATTAGGAGTTTTGTATTAATAGATACACACTATTATATATAAAATAGATAAACAAAGACATACTACATAGCACAGAGAACTATATTCAATATCTTCTTATAACCTATAATGGAAAAGAATCATATATATATATATATGTGTGTGTGTGTGTGTGTATGAATACTGAATCACTTTGCTGTATACCTGAGACTAACACAATATTGTAAACCAACTATACTTCAATTTTTAAAAAATAAAATTTTAAAAAAGACAGTGAGTGACAAGACTGGTGTGGAGTTTGCTATTTTACGTAAGGATCAGAGAAGTCATCCCTATCAAAATGGCATGTGGGCAGAGAACAGAATAAAGCCATACACATGGATATCTAGGAAAAAGAATTCCAGCAGAGAGAATAGCTAACTCAAATTCCAAAGTGAGAACATGCCTGGCCTTTTTGAAGGACAAGAAATCAAAATAGCAAGAGTGCAAGTGAACATGAAGAATCCTAGGTGAGTAACAGATAAAAGGCACATAAAACCAGCTTTGTTTTGTAGGTCATAGAAAGGATTTGGGCATTTATTCTCAGTGAGATAGGAAACCACTGGAGAGTTTTGATCAGGATGTGATGTGATCTTACTTTTAAAAGGATCACTCTGGATATGCTAGGGAAGACTTTAATGCCTACTGGGAAGCAAGAAGGCTACTGCAAGACTAGGACAGTATTCACAAATCTGAGTTGTACCGTCATGACAGGGCTTTTTAAAACACAGATTGATCGCACAAAAAGATGTTCACAAATGATCATAGCAGCTTTATTCATAGTAGTTAATAACTGGGAACAACTCAAATGTCCTCTACATATATCCACACCATGGACTACTCAGCAATAAAAAGGAATAAACTGAATAAACACAAACCTCAATCCATCTACAGAGAATTACAGTGAGTGGAAAAAAGCCGATCCCAAAAGGTTACTTACTGTATGATAATTTATGTAACTTTCTTACATATGAAAATGCAATCAGAAAAACCATAGAAATGGACAATAGATTACTAGTTGCCAAGGGTGTGAGGGAGGGAGGTAAGCTATTAAAAAGGCAACCTGAGGGATGCTTGTGGTAATGGAAAAGTTCTGACTGTATCAACATCAATATCCTGAAATCATATAGCCTTACAAGATGCTACCACTTGAGGAAACTAGGTAACGCGCACAGGGATCTTTCTATATGGGTTCTTACACTGTATTGAATTCTACAGCTATCTCAAATAACAAGTTTAGTTTAAAACAACGCTGGAAGTAATTAAAACACAGATCATTGGAGGTCATCCCATTTCTGATCCAGGAAGAGCTGAAAATGTGCTCTGCTAAGAAGCTTCTAGGACTAGGATTGCTAGTCTAGGATCAGCCATGCCGACCACACAGAGTAGGAAACAGCTACCCACTCCAGTATTCTTGTGGTTTAGGGACTAACACACTGAGACAAGTATTATCCCTATTTTGCTGAAGAAACTCCAGTCTAAAGAGTAAGTGACTTCTCTATGAAGGGCAGTAGAAACTAAGTAGCAGGACCAGGACTCAAATCAGGTCCTATCAGCTCAGGGTTTGTCTAAGTGAAATTAAGGTCAGAAATAATCTTTTGCACAGCAAAAATTAACACAACATTGCAACTATACTCCAACTTTTAAATTATTTAAAAAATAAAAAGAAACCATCGTATTTGTAAGGACTCTCTAGTGTTTAACACAGAATAGACTCATGTTAGATCAACAGGACTGCACTGTCCTAAAATCTAAAGTTCAAATGCAGCTTAATTATAAACATTTCACAAACCTTCAGAAATAAACTTTAAAGTATAGACTTAGTCTCAGTTCTTATCCTGTGCCTTGAACAAATGCTTAAATTCTGTTCCTTAGCTTCCTCAGATATAAGAACCAGGAACTAGTCCCTTTCTACTTAATTCCCAATTTTTTACTTAAAAAATATTTGGGGGTTTTATAAACAGCTACAAGTTAGCTCCTAAAAGTATAAAACCACTTGTTTCCTACCCATATAAGTATTTTATCAAATTGGGCACTTGCCATAGCTTTCTCAAGTTCTAGAAAGCCTGAGTGAAAAAGAAAAATGTGTACCAAAATACTAACAAAAATTCACTGACAACCCATTTAGTAGAACGAATGGGGGTGTAGAAGAAGGCAGCCACAATTTTAAGCAATTCTAGAGGATTTAAAAGCTAGTCAGAGCTCTTAGCAAAATCATACGTGCTCAGATTCATGAAATGTTAAAGCAATTACATTAAGTACATACCAGAAATGATTTCCCTGCAGTTAGCTCTCAAGAATTCCACTTTAAAACTCCCTTATACAATAAGCTTCCATAATAGTCTACATCTCCATGGCAAAGATAACAAAACTTGAGAAAATAGGTTTAAATTGCCAAGAGGGCGTTACATTAGAAATGAGGAGGAAATTTCTGGTAATGATTGCTCCAGTTACCTGAGATTACATTCATGATCAATCTCTGACCCAGACGTTTAAAATATTCAACATTCAATCCAATGGGCTCCTCCCAAATAGTGTCATCTCTTGTTCCAGGCCTACTTTCCTATAATTAATTACAATTCCCCAAAATAAGTAAATAGATCTATTTTGTTAGAATTACAGAAGCTAAGTTTAAGAAAAAGGGAGGTGAGGGGTGCTTTCAAATACAGATAAAGGTCCTAGGAAACCACAACATAGAACTGAACTAGTTCCCATAAATGCCTTTATCAGAAAATAGGAAGTACTACTGTTCTGTGTAGCTCTCCATGGGCTCCTGCTCAGCCACCTCCAGCTTCCTAGTGAGGGAAATTTTAAGACTCACATTTAACTCACAGATCAGACATATAAGCCTCCAATGCCATTCTCATGCCCTGCCAACACAGCCGAAGAATCCTATTTCATCAGAATGTCACCCCTGGAAGTTAGGGCCCAGTATGTCACAGAGAGCTCTCTCTCCTTATACTACCTCAGAACATCTCAAAAGGAGTTATTAATTCACTGCAAAGGGAAACTGGAATCCATTTGTTAAGGGAATGGACATGAATTAACTTGGAAATGTTCTTATTTTTCAAAGTATCATCTAGACACACAGATCCCTGTTTTGAAAAAGTACCAAATGGCTAAATTTTTACCTGACAGTCCTATTAGATTCAATTCAAAAAGGACTCAAGACATAACATTGTTAAAAACATTTATTTTAATACAGTCTATCATAAATAAGTCAGTAGAGGTTCCATTCTGCCACAGACGCATCTGAGAAGTAAGAGCCCTGTGCCATCCAATTGGTGACCGTCTGAACGATGTCCCATCTTTTATCCCAGCCAGAGAGCACACCTTCCATGTTGTTCCTCTGCATTGACTGCTTCCAAAACCAGATGACCAAACAGTCCTTTATCCCCAAAGTAAGCTAAAATGTTTGTGAAGAGGAGAAATAAATTAAACCCCAACGTAAAAACTTCTCAAACACAGCTTAAGAACTAGAAGATTTTATACATTTATGTTCATGTTTACTCAACCATCAAATTCAAAATTAGCAGAAGAATCAATCTCAAGAAGCAAAAAATCAGAGGCCTATTTAAAGAAATACAATTTTATTACTTTTAATTGTAGTTACCTATTATAAACAAAAAGGAAAACAGAAATTGAGGTCAATCAAAAGAGTGACATGAAGGATTGATGAAACCAGAAAATAAAGGTACATCCTTGTTAGATACAGGAAGGAGACAAGATGTGTCTTATTTCTAAGTCCTGTTGATTAAAAATGTAGTTTCTAGTAGTAAGTCAACTTAAATAAAATTGCATTACAAAATGACAATATGAGCATTCTATTAAGTTTGTAAGTTTGTATTTAGAAAGTATTTTCCTTTTGTGTATAAAGCAAACCAACATGCACTTATTTTCAATTTTCAAAAGTGTATTAAAATCTCCCATTAAATCCCAAGTATATTTGCATACAATTAAGATATGAAAACAAAATATTCATTTATCAAGGTCTCTCCCTCATTGGTAATGAGCATCTAAGATAAACAGAAAAGAAAATCTTCCTTGGCCTTATACAGACAATAGGAACAATCATTCTCCCAGTTAGTTAATATTCATGTATTTTGCCTAAATAATGTTTTACTAAGATATTGCCCCTTATTCACTAAATATTGCATTTTGAATAAGGCATTCATATCAAACAACCTAATACACAGAACCATCCTGTGTGAAAGAGGATGGATACTGATGAATGGGGACCTAATCCCCAGGAATCCAACAACTTAACAAGGAAAATACACCAGTAAATCTTGAACCACATTATTTTCATAAGTACTATATAAATAAATTTGTATATAAACAATAAACTTTATATTCCTGAGTTTTACATTAATAAAACAGTTACATTACTGAAAACCCTGACAAATACAAGTCTATTCCTTTCCGGGTACAGACTAGGCAACCCAGGAAGACCTCTTTGTGGTCAGTCTCCCCAGTATAAGCAGCATAGTATACAAAATTCTGTAACAGGATAACCCTTCTCAGCACTCAGTTCCTTCCTAAATCACAAATACCCCTGGAAAGAAATCAGAAAATGTCCCTAATGACAGAAAAGAATGATCATCACCACCAGAAAGGAGAGAAGCACTGAGATGACAATAAAGACATGAGAAAGCAGTGGGGGGTGGCTGCCTCACTGTGAAAGGTCAACTCTTGGTGAGATATCTGAAGCCAATACAACAGATGGGCACATCTATCCCCACTTCTGGGTTTTGTATCACCTGGAGCACAAAATGCTGTTTCTCAGCACGCAGGTCCAGTCTAAAAACTGTACAAGAAGAAATGCTATATCAATTCCTGTCCCAACACCACAAAGAAGTTAGGATCTTTTAATTAAGTTAATTCAGCACTTTCAAAGTGTTCCCAAAGTATCTGGCAGCCACTTCAGGTACTCACAGGACAAAACGAATAAAAACAAGCAACAAGCTTAATACAAAGCAGAGAATGAGACATGGAACACAAAAAATGGAGCAGTTTCTGCTAGGAGAAGGCGGAAAAGATTTAAGGAAGAGGTGATAAATTTGAGGTTGAGCTTTTCTAAAGGTAGGTTTTCATCCAGTGGAAACTGAGGGAAGAAGCATTCCAGGCAGACAGAGAACAAGCAAACAGACAAAGGCATGAAAAAATACAGTTTATTCTGAGATTCACACACAGTATCATGTAGCAAGAGCCTGGTTTTCACAGGAGAAAAAGTGGGGTGAAGGAGATGACAGAGAAAGGCTAAAAATTATTATTAAGTTTATTGCTCATACATTATGTGTCAAGCACTGTTAATAATCTTAATAATCTTATTAAATTCTCAGGACAATCTTATAAATTAGATATTATAAACTTATAAAAGACGAAACTTCATCTTAGGTTAATAGCCTCTTGGAAGTAAGTATTTGATGATAATTTTCAGTCCTTGAAAAATGCTCACACAGCTTGACCAGGTAGCCCCATCTCTGACAGTATTCCCTAAGGTACTGTTTCACTGAGGAAATAACTGGTCTAAGGTCAATCAGCTACTCAGGAGCAGACACGTTGCCTGAGTCCCCATTTTACAAAAAAGAAAACTGATAGTTCAAGGAGTAAAAACTCAAAAAAAAAAAAAAAAGCTTGATGGGGACCTCTGAAAGCAGTTTTAAGAGGCTGTACCACAGAAGATTAAGAAAAGAGATGGAAGTGAAGAAAGGAAGCAGGGAGTGAAGACCATTCATTGAAGAATTTTATCAGTAAACAGTAACAGCATAAATGGACATGTAGACAGCACATTTGGCAGAACCCTGAAGAAAAAACCTTGCTTTGAGAAAAGAAGAGACTGGCAAGGCAGAGAAGGTAGAGGAAATTCATATCAGATGGCATTGTGCTAAGTAAAGTAGCAGATCATATTATCTGGGGGAGGCCACATGACCCAGTGGAAAGTGTACAGGCCTTGGGGAAAGAAATACTCCACTGCCCACCGACTGTATGATCAGCTCTGAAGGACTGAAGTAACAATTAGAGATGCTGTATATAAAGCACTTAATACAGTGGCTGACATGCTACAAATGACTGTTAGTAATATGACCATTATTATTCTTCCCATTCTAGAAAATAGTAGCTTAGATTAAGAGTGTGTAGAAACAGAAGATCTAGAATAGCAGTAAAAAGTCGGTTAGGACAATCCACAAGAAACGTCTGGGAGACAGAAGGTCAAGGTGGAACTCCACAGCACCTGTGCAGGGGCGCTACTCATCACAGTGCTATGAGTACCAGTCCTTTCTACAGAGCAACTCTTCCTGTTCCAGATTCTGCCTTCACACATACACACACCCATATATACACACAGGCATACATACGGTTTTCACAAGTATGTACACACACGTGCATGTGAGTATATGAATACATATACTCTGTGTAGCTGTGTGTATGTATGTGGAAGTTTTGCCAATGTTTATCCAACACCATCAAGGCTGTTTTGGAGAAAGGAAATTTGAAAGGAATGCATTTTCAGAGCCACAAATGTCTGTACACTGACATTAATCCCATAAGAATTTATCACAAGGAAATAAATCAAAATCTATAAGACCTATGCACATAAAAATGTTTGTTATATTGCTAGTTAAAATACTAAAAAAAAACCTGAAAAACCTAAGTGATCAACAAGTGGAAAATACATGGACTATCAATTCTAATTTGGGGTGAAAAAAAAATCCTCTGTACTGTTGTTAGAATGATACAAAAAGTTCCACATATCTTAATAAGGATAAGACAGGAATATGGGAATTAAGAACAGTTCAGCTTTTAAAGTGGCAGGATAAGTTAGTTCTTTTCCTTTTAAAACATGCTTCATTATGGATATAACACAGCACAGTAAGTAAAAATTAGGAAGAGGAGAGAAAGCAGTTACCTGATAATCAAAGTTAGACTGGTCTGCAAATTGTTGCAATTTTCCAACAGCCCAAAACTACACCTGACCGATAAAGCTCCATTACAATACCTAGCACTACTTCTCTTCTGCTTGCCGTGATTTAGTACTTATATATGAACATTTGTCCTGCGATGCTTATTTGTAAGAGCAGTACCTCAAAACAGTTGGTTCAGGCATTCCAGGATCTGCACCTCTCTTAAATCCTAGGGGAAAGGGAGAGGGAAGAAAGAGAATGAAGACCAATTAAAACTCTAGCAGACAAAAAATTTACAATGTTTTCTTTCTAAATCAATACTTGGTAGCTAGAATGACATCCACATCTACCAGAACTACCTAGATTTACCTGTGCAACAGAATAGTTTTGAATCTTCACTAGAGTATGTGATCATGTGCAGAACTAATCAGTAGGGAAGACAAACTACCTTATTCCTGTAATAGTAGCCTACTTAGCACACACTATCTTTCATTCTTAGTCATTACCCACAAAAAAGACAAACTACCAAATCAAACTGAATGAAGGACTACAAAGAGTACTAGGACTGTTTTTTAAAAGCATATATTTTTTTAAAAACTTACTTTTTATTTTGTATTGGAATATAGCTGATTAAAAATGCTGTGCTGATTAACAAGGCTGTGCTGGTTTCAGGTGGAGAGTAGAGCAACTCAATACATATCCATGTATCCATTCTTGCGCAAACTCCCTCCCATCCAGGCTTCCACATAACACTGTGCTGCACGGTAGGTTATCCATTTTAAATACAGCAGTGTACACCTGTCCATCCCAAACTCCCTAACTATCCCTTCCCCTCATTCTTCCCCACCCCCATGAGTTTGTTCTGAGAGTCTGTTTCTGTAAAAAATTATACTTTTTTAAAGAACAAAATTGCAGATATTTTATCCCCATGAACCTCTCTTTACAAAGCAACCAAAGACTGGTGATAGAGGGGAAAAAAACTTCAAGCTATTGTTAATTAAATCAATGCTCTTATTACAAGCAATAGCTGTAATCAGACTAATCAGCATTTAAAGATGAACGCTGACCCTGTGTTTGGGGAACCAGAATCTTTTATAATGGGCAGGGACAGCATGCCTCCCCTTGACCCTGGTACTATTTTCCAAAGCTGCCCACCCTACAAACACCCTTAAAAGCATGAACAAACGGTGGCCACTGCCTCTGCTCACAAGATTTGTAGAAATTCAAGACACTGTGGAGAACTGTCTTCCAACAGGTAACTCACTAAAATCTTTTCGTTGATAAATGTCCAAACAGATGCTTTATCGGGTCGCTGTCCTATTTTATAGCACTATATTCCCACTGTCCTTCCAGAAGCCCTAAAAGGTTATGTTTGAACCTAAACTACACCAGATAAATTCAATATGCACTTGCAAGGTTTTACTGAGAAGTAAAGCATGGGAACTAGGTCAGACCTAAAATTAACCTTAGATACAGTATAAGGAAAAAACAATGGTTAACAAGGACAAATAAAAAGATAGCCTTAACATCAATCTCCACCTGAGCTAGACACAAGGGTACCAGCACTAAACAGCAGGATTACTGGTAATCCTAGCAAAAAGAACATAGCCAGTGTGCACGAAAAGGAAAATAATTTTAGGGTGGAAAAGAAAAGCATTATCTACTCTTCAAACCAAAACCCTCCTTATACAGATTTTAACAACCAGCTGAAGCTTTCTGGCAACAGAAAAGGAATTTCAAAAAGGAGAGGCGAAAAAGGTACCTGAAAAAGACTTACAGAGGAGCAAAGAATCCACACGGACAAAGAAAGCAGGAGCAGAGTAAAATGGGACCCGACATACACAACAATAGAAAAATGACATAGAACAAAGATGGGGAAGAATCAAAGACCCCGTAACTTCCTTCCTTAGCTAAAAGGACAGCTCCTCCCAGCGTTTGCCTAGCAAAACTGGGCCCTTCTACAGTTAAGAGAAGGCTGGCAAGGAGGACAGTTGGGAGAAGGAGGGGAATAACAGCCTGTAAGAGCAGGCTACTTGCTCGCTCTAATTTTCAATACCTACACAAAGTTACTAAAATCCAAGGAACTAATGCTTCTTTTAAAAATGCAGTACCTCCCTGGAGGTCCAGTGGCTAAGACTCTCTGCTCCCAAAGCAGGGGGCCAAGGATCCAACCCTGGTCAAGGAACTAGATCCTACAAGCTACGACTAAGAACTGGCACAGCCAAATAGGTAGTAGTTTTGACAAAATGTGTTGTAGGGACTTCCCGGGTAGTCCGGGAAGCGGTTAAGAATCCGCTCTCCCACTGCAGGGAGTGCAGGTTCACTATCTGGCAGCGGATGTTTCACATGACCACGGTGCAGCCAAACCCCGCCCCCCCCAAAAAAAAGTGCGTCCAAAATAAGGGAGGAGGGTCTTTTCAAGCCCTGCATTCTGAAGTATCTCCAGGTTATTAGTTGGCTTGCAAGTCATGGGGAAATGGGAGCCACAATTGCCTACAGAATATCCAGCATAATCAAACGCTCCGTCAAGGCTGAGTGAATGTACTGCATTTTACAAAAAGACATGACACCTAAAAAACATAAAACCAAAAACAAGAAGCAGCATATAGTTAAAAATCATAGGATTGTGAAATGTGAACCGGAGTTTTACAAAATGCCAAAATTTACGTTCAAACTGACAAAGGCGAAACGCTATCCACTCCATCCTACTGCCTGAACAAGGCAATCAGTTTAAAATTACAAAACTACCCCAGGCGAGAAACAGTGTAAAGTCTCAATGTGCGGCCCTAGGCAAAAATATGTGCCTTACCATTTTCAAATTTCTGCAATACAGCATGGTGGTTAAGAGTATGGGCCTTGATGGCCCAATGCTTGACTTCATAGCTCCCCCATTTGACAGCTGTGTGGCCTTCAGCGAACAAAACTGTTCTATGCCTCGGTTTCCCCGCGCGTAAAACCTCTACCTGCACGTGAGAACGCAGAAGTATCCAACAACTATTGTCATAATCATGCCTCAAGGCAATGGCATACCCATGAGGCTTACGAACCTCTTTCCACTTAGGCCCACCTAAGTGGAAACTTCCCGGAAACACACCTAGGGTCCAAATATGAATTAATCACTTTCACACACATCAGGCCTTCAGGTCCACGCACATCAGGACTTTTCAGGTCCCCAAAATCCTGAAAAGTAGGTCACCTCTTGCTTACAGATGTATTAACAACATGGGAAATATTACGTGACTTGTTCAAGACCAGAAAGAAAAAAANTCACACTGGAGGTTCAACATGTGAATTTTGGGAGGACATAAACATTTGCGTGTGTGTGCTAAGTCACTTCAGTCGTGTCCGACTCTTTGTGACCTCATGGACTATAGCCCGCCAGACTCCTCCATCCATGGAATTTTCTAGGCAAGAGTACTGGAGTGGGTTGCCATTTCCTTCTCCAGAGGATCTTCCTGACCCGGGGATCGAACCGGGGTCTCCCGCATTGCGGGGAAGACGCTTTACCGTCTGAGCCACCGAGGAATCAAGGAATGTCACAAACGGACACCAGACAGAGCGTCTGTTCATGCCTTCTTTGACTCCCAAAGTATTTGGTTGTTTATTTTTACATTTTAAATTACTTGTCAGCATTCTAAAGTTTGGGAAAGTTCGCATGAAAATCAGGACGTTTTCAGAGAACGGCGAATCTCATTGCAGTCAGCACCCATCTTGCCCTCGGTTTAGAACTGCAGTGGTCCTCAGCCCTGGCTGCACAATAGAATCAATGAGGAGATTAACAGGCTCCCTCCTGCTGGGGGCCAACTCCTACCAATTAGGATTGGTTGGGGGTGGGGCCCGGCCTTTCCTTACCTTTGAAGTTCCCAACTTCTGATTCAGTAACTGCCCCTCTGCAGTTGGCATTTGGGCTTTTGACCTCAAGGTTAGGACTTTTTTTTCTTTCTGTATTTATTTATTTTTAATTGAAGGATAATTGCTTTACAATATTATGTTGGTCTCTGCCATGCATCAACAGGAATCAGTAATAGGTATACATTCGCCCCCTTCCTCTTGAACCTCCCTCCCACCTCCTACCCCATCCTCCTCCTCTAGGTTGTCAGGGAAGGCTAGGAGTTCTTGATTAGTAAGGCTTTAAGAGATTTTTACGTCTTTGACCTTGGTGCCTTTCCTGACTCACCTCAAGATACATTATATTTTCTTTTAAATTCTCTTTTTTTTAAAGAGTTTGAGTGAAAATTTGCTTAAAACAAGAAGTTCCAAACCGGAAGTGGTTAAAAATGCTCACTCTTTTAAATTCGTAACGTGTTCCTGGCGCTTCTAAAATTTCCCTGGTGGCTTTCTGGACATTCCTGTGCCTAGCTCATTACCATGATAATAACAACCAGTCTATTCTGTCTGTGTTAAGTGTTTTAAATGCAAAATTAGTCTCAAGCTTCAAAAGAATTTAAAGCATTAAAGCTTATTTTACTAATTCTTTTTTTTAATATTTATTTTATTATTTGGCTGTGCCAAGTCTTAGTTGCTGCATTCAGTTCAGTTCAGTCACTCAGTCGTGTCTGATTCTTTGCAACCCCATGTTTGATTAGTAAGGCTTTAAGAGATTTTTACGTCTTTGACCTTGGTGCCTTTCCTGACTCACCTCAAGATACATTATATTTTCTTTTAAATTCTCTCTTTTTTTAAAGAGTTTATTTGAGTGAAAATTTGTTTAAAACAAGAAGTTCCAAACCGGAAGTCGTTAAAAATGCTCACTCTTTTAAATTCGTAAGGTGTTCCTGGCGCTTCTAAAATTTCCCCGGTGGCTTTCTGGACATTCCTGTGCCTAGCTCATTACCATGATAATAACCACCAGTCTATTCTGTCGGTGTTAAGTGTTTTAAATACAAAATTAGTCTCAATCTTCAAAAGAATTTAAAGCATTAAAGCTTATTTTACTAATTCTTTTTTTAAATATTTATTTTATTATTTGGCTGTGCCAAGTCTTAGTTGCTGCATTCAGTTCAGTTCAGTCACTCAGTCGTGTCTGATTCTTTACAACTCCATGGACTGCAGCACGCCAGGCTTCCTTGTCCATCACCAACTCCTGGAGCTTGCTCAAACTCATGTCCATCGAGTCGGTGATACCATCCAACCATCTCATCCTCTGTCATCCCCTTCTCCTGCCTTCAATCTTTCCCAGCATCAGGGTCTTTTCCAGTGAGTCAGTTCTTTGTATCAGGTGGCCAAAGTATTGGAGTTTCAGCTTCAGCATCAATCCTTCCAATAAATATTCAAGACTGATCTCCTTTAGGTTGGACTGGGTGGATCTCCTTGCAGTCCAAGGGACTCTCAGAGTCTTCTCCAACACCACAGTTCAAAAGCATCAGTTCTTCAGCTCTCAGCATTCTTTTACAGTCCAACTCTCACATCCATACATGACTATTGGAAAAACCATAGCCTTGACTAGATGGACCTTTGTTGGCAAAGTAAGTTAATGTCTCTGGTTTTTAATAGGCTGTCTAGGTTGGTGATAGCTTTTCCTCCAAAGAGCATCTTCTAATTTCATGGCTGCAGTCACCATCTGCAGTGATTTTGGAGCCCAAGAAAATAAAGGCTGTCACTGTTTCCACTGTTTCTCCATCTGTTTGCCGTGAAGTGATGGGACCGGATGCCATGATCTCAGTTTTTTGAATGTTGAGTTTTAAGCCAACTTTTCCACTCTCCTCTTTCACTTTCATCAAGAATCTCTTTAGTTCCTCTTCACTTTCTGCCATAAGAGTTGTATCATCTGCGTATCTGAGGTCACTGATATTTCTCCCAGGAGTTTTGATTAGAGCTTGTGCTTCATCCAGCCCGGCATTTCGCGTGATGTACTCTGCATATAAGTTAAATAAACAGGGTGACAATATACAGCCTTGACTTACTATTTCCCAATTTGGAACCAGTCCATTGTTCCATGTCGTAGTTACTTCATACAGACAGGATCCTTTTTTTAAAGGTGCAACACATGGGATCTAGGTCCCTGACCAGAGATCAAACTCAGGCCCCCTGTATTGGGAGCAGAGTCTTAGCCACTAGACCACCAAGGGAGTCCTTTACTTTACTAAATCTTATAAGAAGTAAACTATATATATTATAGGCCTCCTTTTACAGGTCAGGAAACTCAACCTTTTATCCAAATGCCTGATACATAGTAAGGGTGCATTTCTGTCAGTGAAACTGAACAATGCCAGTCATTTGCCTTCATCAACATTCATGGAGCTATATGCTAGGCACTAGAGATGTATGATTTTTTTTAAAGGCATTGCCTTTAAGAACTTCATACTTGGGTGGAAAAGATGAGTAAATAAATGATTTCAATATACTGTGAATGTGCTAAGTTTCATGATAAATTTACACACAAAATATGATGGAAAGGCAAATGGAGGACACCTTACACTGCCTAGAGGCAAAGAGGAAATAAATTTGAATTGTTGAGGTAAAATCAACAGGTCTTTTTGGCCAAATGAATGTGGAGGGCAGAGTTGAAAGAGGTGGTCAAGATGCCTGCCCAGTTTTGAATTTGTGCAACTTACTAAGTAAGCAGTCTCACTCCTTGGTCTCCACAAAGTCTAAAGTATATAGATTCACCTTCACAGTGATTCCTATAGATAGGGATGGGGATTCAAGTAACNACATACACTTCAAACGCTTTGTAATAGTAATTATCTCAGGGGATGAGGGAGGAAATTAATGGAAATCTTTACTTTTCATGTATTTCTCTGTAATATGTTGCTTGTTTTTCATAATGAGCATATATGACTTCTACAAAAAAAAAAGGCATATTTTAAAACAAAATTAAACCCTCTAAAGACTCCCCATTGCCTTCAGGATAAAAGAGTAAAGAGTTATTGCACAACCTACATGTTCCTGAAAGGCACCATATTATCTTTCATCTCTGCTCTTACTGCTGCCAGAAACACCCTCCCAATTTCTTCTTTAAGGTCCATTCAAATATTTTCTCCAGTATGTAATTCCCCTGACTTGCTCTTGCCCTGTCCAGGGCAAGCCAAACACTTCCTCCTGGTGCCCCCACTCTCAAGTTGACTTGTCATTATTTATTTACATGACTATTTCCCCAGACTACAGGCAGAGACCCTCACAAATCTCATATCCTCAATTACTGTATATATACCACTTGTGGACTTAATGAATTTCATCAGGAACTAACAGCCTTGGTTAATTATGTTACTCAGTCAGCCATAGAACATGTATCTAAAATGCTTATTTGTAAATTTATGATTAGAGATATCCTTGGCAAAAGAATGGACATTTTCCCTCCTGGTGGACAATCCATTAGAAATAGCTAATACTTACTGGGCACTTACTATAATGCATGCACTGTGGTTGCTCACATGCTTTAACTTGAATCCTCACAATTCTGTGAGCTGGGGAGTGTATTAACAACCTCATTTGGAGGAAACTGAGGCACAGGGAAGTGAAGTAAATTTGCCCAGCTTCATAGAACTGATAAGTAGTGGGAATAGGGTCTTTATCCAGATGCTCTTACACCAGAACTTGAATGTTAACCACGTTGCTACACTGCCTTATAGGAGAGATGTAAACATAGGACAAAAGAAAAGAAGTCATGTATTCTCAAAAAATATTTTCCTCATGCTGTGATAGATAAAAGAACTCTTTACCTTGTACTGGAGCAACACTCAGACCAAACGCTGGCCAGTGACCCAAAGGGATGCTGACTGGCTGAACCAATCAGAGACTCTCTAAATGAGATTTGAACTCAAGATAGAAAGAAAACTCTGACCAAAGCTGGTAAAACAGAGAATAGAAAACATGAAGTAGTAGAGGGTGCAAGTCAGCAGAAACCATCAAGTACAGAACATTGAGGTATAATGATATTTAAAAGCAGAGACATTACTTTCACAACAAAGGTCCGTCTAGTCAAGGCTATGGTTTTTCCAGTAGTCATGTATGGATGTGAGAGTTGGACTATATTGTTCTGTAATGTACAGGAAAGTGGAATTAATCAGTTACTTTACAAGTAACTGGTTTCAGCTAATTCTAAAATAACAGAAAAGGGGTGAAGGCACGAAGGTGAGAAGCTCAGGGGGAAAAAATCAACTGTCAGGCTTTCACCAGCAACATCCAGAGAAAAGGTAATAGTGTTTTCTTAGGGGGAAAAAAAAAAAAAAACCTCTAGAGAGGATTAGATGGTTGAGCTCTTTAAGGCTGCAAGGAGGAGAGAAACCTACAGAAATATGGGTGGTGTACATTTCTGGCAGCATAGCCCGACTTTACAGAAGAACACGAACGACTCCTTCGGATGTCTATTTACACATCTGAAAAATGGAAAGGGAGTAACTACTGGTTATGGGCTGAATTCTGTGCCCTACCACCCCCACGCCACTCCAAATTCAAATGTTGAAGGCTCAACCCCCTGTGGAGAGGTTTGGAGAAAGAGTTTTTAAGAAGGTAATTCAGGTTAAATGAAGAGTTAAGAGTGGGACCCTAATCTTACAGAAGAGAAAGAGAGCAGAGCTCCCTGGCCACGGGCACACAGAGACACAATGAGGGTGCGCATTGTCAGTGCTCCAGAAGGACTGAATGCACACAAAATGGCTTATAAATGTGGGTGGATGAAACAATGATGTTCAGATTCAGAACAACCACGTACCAAGCAGTGTGAGAGGTGCAAAGAACATGACGTTTTGGAGGACTGGAGATGATGTCCATGAAGGACCGGCCACCTCCCTGCACCTCCATCTAGGACTCTGAGCCTCTAGAACTGTGAGAAAACACACTTCTGTTGTGTAAGCCACCCAGTCTGTGGTGGTGTGTTATGGCAGCCTGAGCAGACTACTGAGCCTAACTCTGTTAGGCTACCTAACAGAGCTGTGTATCAGAAAAATTAAATCAGATCATGATGAAGTGAGTGAAGCCGCTCAGTCGTGTCCGACTCTTTGCGACCCCATGGACTGTAGCCTACCAGGCTCCTCCGTCTATGGGATTTTCCAGGCAGGAGTACTGGAGTGGGTTGCCATTTCCTGCTGATGTGTTAACAAAAGTACCACATGTTGGGCACCCCCTGTGCCCGATCCTTCATGGACATCATCTCCAGTCCTCCAAAACATCATGTTCTTTGCACCCCTCACACTGCTTGGAATGTGGTTGTTGAATTTTGAATCTGAACATCATTGTCTCATTCACCCACATTTATAAGCCATTTTTTATGCATTCAGTCATTCTGGAGTATTGAGTACAGATAATGTGCAGTTCCTTGGGCCATGTGGATCATTATGTGTGGAGACCCATAAGAAAATGAAGTGCAGTCCTCCACTTAGAGACTCTGTGATCTGGTTAGACAGAGTAAGACAAATACATTGAGAAGTTACTTGTCCATGTGACTGGTCTTTGGAAAAACAATAACATCATGTCAAGATTAAACACAGGGACTCGGGGGCAGAAGCTCTGGGTTTGAATCCTGGCTCTGTTACTTAGCTGTGTCAACTTATTTAACCTCTCTAAGTTTCTGTTCTCATCTACAAAAGAAGATAACAATAATAACCACCTCAGTTACTCTAAAGATGAAGAGATAACACACCTGAAATATGGGGCCTAACTAAAAGACTTAAGCAAAGATAAGTTTTTTCTATCATTGTTTGTTATTTGCCTCTTTGTTCTTAATGGTTTCTATTTCAAAGATGGACCTTTGCCAGTTTTTTCTCTAATTCTAATTTCATGAGTGTATCAACAGCCTTCCAGGAACTGGTTGCACCTACTACATACAGAGCCACAGACTGGGCGAGGGACAGACTAATGCAAGGTGAGATAGAGTGGAAACTCTTCAAGGAATATAGTTTATACTTTGTGTCTATTGAACCTGAATATAATGCTATGCCATGGAAGGAACCTAACTATATCCATTGCTACAAAGAAAAGAACACAGAGTTAGAAGTCAGGTGGATCTGAAAGCAAACTTGCCAAGGTTTGAATCCAACTCTGCTGTTTTGCCCAAACAAGAACCTCAAGAACTAGTTGATAATGTATCAGAAAAACTAATTAATTCACCATGGATACCAGGAGAACAGGGCCTATTTTCCAAAATGCAGCCACATATATGCACCAAAATGAAAGAGGAAAAAATATTTTACCATGCATCTTGTTTTCTAGAGATGGTATATTTAAAAATATATCAATATTCAGACACCATGTGATTTCTTGAGATTTTTAACTCTTTGTCCCCTTTTTTTTCTGCTAGGGTGTTTTGAGTGGACAGAAAATTTCTTATTGCCATGCTACAGGTTGGGATTCATGTGTATATCAAGCAAGAATATATGTGGAATACAGTTGCCACAAAGAAGAGATTAGTCATAAAATATCACTGGGATATCAATCAAGTGTAAACTTCTGCCAGGAAGAGGGAGTTTGAGAAAAGTGTCCTTCTCAGCTCCTGCTCACAAGGGTTTGGGAATCTTATTTGGGAAGACTGCCTATATCCTTGAGAAACAAGAGGGTGTGGGGTGAAGGCCTGATGTGTAGAGCAGACAATACAATGTTATAGATATTTGGATGAGAGCCAAGTCACAGAGGGCTGGATTCTTTGGCGGTACATCACAGAAGGGAGCCTGAGCTGACTTCTGATGGCTGGGGATAAGGGAGACTGGAATAAAGAAATGTTAGAAAAAGCAGGATTAGGAGGAGAGTGAAATGTTTAAGGTGGAACACAAAGCTCCAGGCAAGAAATAGAGACCATGTTATAAAAAGAACCTAAATGTCATCTTAAGAAACTTGGATTTTAGCCAAAGAGTAGCTGGAAAGCTGCTGAATATTTCAGAGAAAAAAAAATTTACAAGGTGAAAGCACTTTATTTTTAGGGTTTAATTTTTTTTTAGTGTTCTTGATTTTGTTGAAAAGGGAATAAATTCACATAGTCTAAATTTAAAAGGTACAAAGGGTATCTGGTGAAAGGTCTCCCTCTACTTCTGTCCCCTGCTCCCTATTTTTATCCCTGGAAGCAAATCAATGTTACCGATCTCTTATATATTCTTCCAAAGATCTCTATGTTTATGCAAGCAAAGACACCCATATTCCTCCCCATCCTTGTTTTACAAATGGGATACAGTCAGAATTACTTACCTTAAAAATGTAATTTAGAGACTATTTTATGTGAATATATAAAAAGATTTCTCATTACCTTTTTAAAAAACAGATGGACTGGTACAAAAGAGTGTAATTCTATTTCTTTCACACTTTGTTGGGCTTCCCAAGTGGCTTAGTGGTAAAGAATCCACCTGCCAAGGCAGGAGACACAAGAGATCCCTGGGTCAGGAGGATCCCCTGGAGGGAGGAAATGGCAACCCACTCCAGTATTCTTGCCTGGGAAACCCCATGGACAGAGGAGCCTGGCAGGCCACAGTCCATGGGGTCGCAAGGAGGCGAGCGGGACTGCGTAACTCACACGTGAGTGGAANGAGAAAAACCCCTGCAGCAACAGAGACCCAGCACAGCCAAAAGTAAATAAATAAAATTTTGTAAAAAACATTTCTTAGCAATTATTCCAGATCAGTACATAAATAGCTTCCCTTTTTACACACGCATAGTTGTACTTTCCATAAATAAAAATATTTATTAATACCTTATATTTACCTTGTCCTCTCTGAAGGCTGGTATTTCACAGATTTCCTTTAAATTCCTGAAAATGAATGTGTCCATGCCTGTGTACTCAGTCTTCGACTCCATGGTTAAGAGTGGTTCAGGTACCAAACTGTGTAATCATGATAAAGATTCTAGCAGGAAGTCAGGGGCTGGAGAAGCAGGGACAGCCAGTTCTCATCCTAGTCTTCTGCTCACTTAAACCCTCCTGCTTTGGCTCTCACATGCAACACTGGGATTACCTGCCTTGGTTACCTTTCAAGCGCTGGAGGGTTAGACGGGATGACAGATAGACAGCTATTTTCTTAAGCTGAATCCACTGTAAAAATAAAAGGTTTGGCAAGTGTGACTATCACCTATATCAGAATCCTCTACCATAATCCTCTATCAGAAACAGGAATTGTCTCCACAGACATGAAGAACAGGTTTGTAGTTGCCAAGGGTGAGCAGGGATGGGGGAGCTAGGTGGTGGGAGTCTGGGGTTAGTAGATGAACTATTACATACAGAATGGATAGTCAACAAAGTATAGTACAGAGAGCTATACTCGATATTTTGTAATAACATGTGGGAAAAGAAACTGAAAAAGAATAAATATATATATAAATACTATATATAAAGCTATATATAATAGTATGTATATATATATAAGGCTGAATCACTTTGTTGTACACTTGAAACTAAACATTATAAATCAACTATATTTCAATAAAAATATATTCATTAATTTTTAAAAGATGAGAATATTAAAAAGAATGATATAATGGTATAACTGAATCACTTTGCTATACAGCAGAAATTAACACAACACTGTAAATCAACTACACTTCAATAAAGAAAAAAAAAAGGAGTTATAGCAGACACAATCTCTGTTTGAGTGTTAAAGAAAGCTGCAACTTACCCCATATTATTTTTGATTCAAAATAAAATTACTTCCTGAGCCCTTTGTTTTCTAATCCAGTCAGTAATGACTTTAGGAAAGGGTGCCACACAGCAATAACGATTTTTAAAAATCGCATGTAATAGCTATTCTGCCTCACTTCAGTGCACAGTTTAATAACCCATCTAACCTAGAGTAGGAAATGGCACCCCACTCCAGTATTCTTGCCTGGAAAATCCCATGGACAGAGGAGTCTGATGGACTACAGTCCATGGGGTCGCCAGAATCGAACACAACTGAGCCCACATGCATACATAACAGATTGACAACTTGGCATTAGTACATTTTGTAGGTAAATCATCCTGTTGGACACATCAAGAAGCAACTGTAGTTCAAACCCAGACATTCTAAAAGGGTTTCACTCAAGGGGGATATTCAAAATGTTGGCCTCCCCCATCAGAATGGCACCTAAAGGCCACATTGGTTCATCTGGGACTGGGAAAGCAGAGTGCAGGTTTTATTTTTGTTTCTCATTTTCCCTGAGAAGGAACTTCATGTTGAATTTCTCCAAGAACAAGACAAGGTAGCCAACACCTACCTTTACATTTCTTCAAGCTAAACATTTTCCCCTCAGTATTCTATGGTGCAGAACCGGGAAAGATTCAGCACCTTTTTTTCTAATGAAATGCGTGGCTTTTTGTGCAGAGTTGCTTGCTGCACACAGCTTGCTCAAAGTAGGTGCCCATTATCCCAGCAGATTAACACCAGGTTATTCAAATCTTCATGGCCTGCTGGTCACTGGAACCACACTAATGGTATTCACCAGGTAAATGGCGATGCCTGGGATCCAGGAGTTCTACAGTGCCCTCTGCCTGGAACATTCTCCCCCTGACTCAGCCCCTCATTGCCTTCAGTTCTCTTCAGAAATCCAGTCTCTCAGAAGGGCATCCCCTGATCATCTAACAGAGAACTCCCCTTCCCCATTTCTCTCTAGTCTATTTCCCTCATTTTACTTACTTTCCTAACACACACTACAGGTCAGGGGATGCAAGGCCACCAGAGGTCCTAAGATCCTGTTTTCTGAAAAAAGGATAAGGGGAAGGAACAAAAATATAAAAGGTTCTGTGATACCACTTTAATAACTCTCTCTCTTCTAATGCATATCTGCTACA